TAAAAAAAAATTAAAAAATTAAAAAATTAAAAAAATCAATAGAAAATCTTAAAAAAAAAAAAATTCCTTGTATGTACCTGGAAAAAATGAAACAAAAATATGGGAAATTAACTGAAGAAGTCTGAGCAGATAGATACTCCTCCAGTTCACAGGATGGTTGAGGTGACTCTGAGGGACACAGAGTGGAGCGTGACGGGCAAACTAATCTGATCCAAGATAAATGATGATCGGGGTTAAGGATGAGCTGAGCTCACGCTGATGTGGAGACATCAGGCATCACAGAAGAAAACGGACTGTTTATCTGGTCCAAAGAGACAGTTTGCTGCTTGTCTAAAATCATCTTTCTAAAGACTGGTTGGTGGGAGCCCTGGCAAAAGGCCCTGCAGGACACACAGGAAAAATGAGGGAAACTAGGGTTGTTTCGAAATTTCCCTGTTTGAAATTTGCACAAAAGGCCTTAAACACCATAGCAATTAGAGGAGAAAAAAGTGTCTGGAAGATCACCAGGTAGGAGGTCAGGGATTCATGTTTAAAATCTCTGGGAGATGTTGCTAACTAATTTTGGGCTAAAACTTGAAAAGTGGGCACTTTTTCTAAACCAACATATAGGATTTTCTGATCAGGTAAGCACCTTTAAAGTTCAGTTACGCCAGGAACAGTCAGAAATTAGATTGTATAACTGTTCCCACAAACTGTTCAAAGGTTACCACTTGTCCAGTAGACAGTTGCTAGAGCCCAGTTCAAGAGGAAACACACAGAATGCTAATGTCCAGAATTCCCATGCACCTGGGAGAGAGATGATTGTAGGACGGGTTAAGAGCGTGTGGCTCACAAGCACATCGTTAGTGGTGTGGACCTAGCGCCCACCTCCACAAATTCTGGAAAATTGCAGAATTACTGCAGGCGCCTAAGGAAGGCTGCCAGCTGTGAGTCTGGGGATGGACATAATTTGTTTAAATGTGTTCAAGCAAAACCAAGTTGGAGTGGCCAGGCCTACCTTTTCTCTTTGGGGGCCATAACTGGAGCACACCTTGCTCAGGCCCTTGATGGATGTGCCGGTTGGACTATTTCTGTTCTAAGTGAAAGAATTCAATCTAAGTAAGTGGCAAATACACCCCTTTCCTTAAAGACTGCGATGCACACTGCCGTTTGCACTGTACCCATTCCTGCAGAAGCCGCTGTGGAGCTGGAATCCAGCCCTTCTGTGCTTCAAAAGCCACACCCCACAGCCCTTAAGCAAGAGAGAGGCCCCTGAGGGGAGTCATGTGTTTCCAGGGGTTTGGGATCAGAAACGCTGGCACCAAAGAGGCAAACAGGGCCTGAAGGTTACTCTTGTCTCCATGTCTGTTCCCCAATATCATGGCATCTCTAGATGAACCAGCACACAGAAGCCAGAAAGAGAGTTCTCAGTCCTTTCAAGGTTCTTAATCTAATTCTCCCCTATAAACACAGGCTGCTCTTAGGCCAGAGATCCACAAATTTAGCCTCACTTTAGATTTTGTTGGGGGCTTTGAAAATCCCAATGACCAAGTTACTTCCCACCATTTAAATCAGCTTAATTCTAATAATGCCCCGGCGTGGGTCCAGGCAGCTTTTAAAGCTGGCAGGTGATTCTACCAGCTACCACATTTGAAAGACTGGCCCAGGGCTACAGTTTTCAATCCTGGCTGCACAGTTGAGATCCCCTGGAGAGGCTTTCAAATTCTGACTTCCAGGCACATCTGAGACCAATTAAGTCAGGATCTCTAGCCATGGATCAGGGTTCAGTGGCCTTTGAAGCTTCCAGATAATTCTGATAAGCAAACAGGGGAACCACTTTCCACAGGCAAATGCCCTCAAGAGAAATACAGAGAAGCCTCAAAGCGTCCCTCCCTTTCCCAAGGTGGGAAACGGGAGGACACCTTCCCGGGACAGCCTTCCCTGCAGGTGCCCACCGGCCCAGGAAGCCACTGAGCTGAATCCTCCCCAATCACTTAACTACTGAGGAGTAACTGACAGATATAATTGTGTATATTTGGAGTGTACATGATGATTTGATACACAATGACCAGTGATCACCAAGGCCAACATCACTGGTTACCAGTTTGGTTAACTTTTGGGGGGATGAGAAGGCTCATGATCTACCGCCATCACTTACTAGTCACCACACTGTATGTTAGATGCTCAGAACGTCTCATAACTGAAAATGAGCACCCTTGGACCTGCCTCACTCATCCCCCAGCCCCTGGCAACCACCATTCTGTCTTTATGAAATCAGCTATTTTTTTAACTATTTTAAAATATACATATCTTTATTGATTTCAGAGAGAGAAAAGGAGAGGGAGAGAGAGAAACATCGATGAGAGAAAGTCATTGATCAGCTGCCTCCTGCACACCTCCAACTGGGGATCAAGCCTGTAACCCGGGGACGTACCCTAACCAGGAATCAAACCTCCATGTCCTGGATCCTAGGCTGACACTCAACTGCTGAGCCACGCCGGGCCAGGCTGAAATGGGCTATTTTTTGATTCCACACACAGCACCTGTCCGTCTGGCTTACGTCACTTATACAATGCCCCTGGGTTCATCCATGCTGTCGCAAATAGCAAACATCGTTTTTCTAGGACCAAGCTTGGGTATTTCCTTGGTCTTTTCAAAGAACCAGCTTTTTGATTCAGTTAGTGATAATCTCTCAAAGTTAAACGGGGGTGGGAGGGGGCGTGTCGCAGGGCGCTACAGAGGAACCATTACTGTGGGTGAGTTCAGCTTAGTTGTCCATCAGCTTCTACCACCAGGGGCTCATGCAAATCTGAGCTTCTAAAGCCAAGGCACCACAAGGTCGCAGAATTAACATAATCTTCACAGATAGTGAATCACAGCCGGGGAAGGGACACACCTCTGCCTCGTCACCCTTCTGCATACTCAGTCACCTTCCCAGTCATCCACAGCCTCACTACCTCACTAAATGACCTNATCTTCACAGATAGTGAATCACAGCCGGAGAAGGGACACACCTCTGCCTCGTCACCCTTCTGCATATTCAGTCACCTTCCCAGTCATCCACAGCCTCACTACCTCACTAAATGACCTTCGAGCATATGCATCGTTTTAAAGTTCCTGTCACACCCTCTGTCATTTGGTTTCTATTTAAGGGGGACTATAGTCCCTAAGTGGGTTTTCACATGCGGAGGTCAGCTGGGCCTATGTTGTCCGTCCAAGGGCCAACCAGGGCCCCCGGGAGAGCGTGTGCTGAGGGGAGAGCTGAGAGAGCATGCACATGTTCCCACAGAGGAAGGGGCATGGGTTGGAGTTTGGGCCGTGAAAGGTGAAGAGAATGGCAGATTTCCGATTCTCATCGTACACTGGACAATTACTGAAAATGCATCAGCTTTCTCCCCTTCAATCAATCAAGGTTCTATCTGCCCTTTTAAACATGTATGAAAAACCTATTACTTATGCACTCATTTCTTACCTTTGCAAATATTCTAATCAGATAAGGATTTCAAAAGCCAGATGGCTGTAAGCTTTTGGACTGAATGGGCCCGTTTGGAATAAAACCTGTGGAGACAAAATGCAGTTGCTGACCTGGGGATTTTGGTTCAGAGACCAGTCTCGAGTTGCCCGTTATGGAGGAGTCATCGGACACTGCTCACGCCCTTTGCAAAATCCACGTGAACTGTGCTGATGACCAGGTTTCCAACCTGTAGCAACCTTTTTATTGGCGTCCACATAAACAAGGACATAAAGACCCTTTGTTTAGCGTATATTCAGGGCTCCTTTCAGTCTCCAGGGTGGGAACCATGTGAACCTCGAATTCCTGGCAGTGCTGGGAACCCCGGGACTAAACCCCCAGGCTGAAGACGCCTCAATGCTTCCTGCCTCGGAGAGCTGACCGGTTCACCTGCTTGATAGCATTTTGTTCCCTTCCTAAAGGCTAGGGCAGAACATCAAAAAGGAGCGAATTAGCAATGTCTGCACTTTTTGGCTAATGTTTAAACCTAAATGTCAGTATCTGGAGACCCAGAACATAAAACACTATTGTTACATGCCCTGTTGATCACATCCACTGATTTTTTTTCTAGATGGTAAGACGGAACCAGACTAACATCTGCACAAGCAAAGAAACTGCCATTTCCTGATACATTTAGCTACTGACTTTATAGACCAGAACCCTGGATGGCCAGTTCCCCTTGGAAGCCCTTGCCACCTTAGGCTGCTGTTTATAGACACATGTGGGTGTGGCCACTGAGTGGACTGTGGAGTCATTAAGACCCACCTCCCAGCAGCAGAGAAGACACACCTATCAAAGTAGCTGAGACTCTCAGCAGTCAAGCTCACTGCCTGATCCCAGGGGAAGTGTCAGACCTGGATCATTTCATGAGGGTAACTGGAGGCAGGAAGGAGGCGAGGAGTTCATTCTGAGATGTGCCTACCCTCACTTCACATTTTAAAAGTGCCATTACTGCAAATCCAACTGGAAGAAACACCTCAAAACGTAACCACTCCAGGAACAAAGTCGGCAGATCATTTTCGCAGGATTAGGGCTCAGGGCACCACCATTCTGCCTCTTGATGGGGCAGCTGCAGGACTTCTGGAGATGATGAGTGCCCAGGCCAGAGGAATCAAGCAACAGGGCTGAACTCCCATTCTGGAAAGCTTCTCACCACCACCTTTTAAAACTAAAGAATTTTAATTACTTACTTCTATAAGTGACAAAATGTCCTGGCCAGTCCCAGAGGCAAGACATCAGCTACAGCCGGGGCTACACCCTCAGTGCTGAACACAGGTTTCAAGCCTCTTTCCCAAGGATCACATTCTAAGTTATAGTACAGATTACAGTGGGGGAAGGGAGGAAACAGCCAGAGCTCAGGTGCAAGACTGGGAGGGAGGCCTGCAAACTTCTGCTTCTCAGGACTGGGAGATGACCAGTTGATGTAACCTAACCAACCATGGCCTCTGCAGAATCTGTGGCCCCGACACGAAGATAAATAAATGAGAGTCAATTACAGACTTCACAAACATCTTGTACACCAGCCAGTGACTTTTAATTGAAGTAACTATCAAAAACACCGCACCTCTCAAGTCTTCGAGCCCCACAATATTAACAGTGGCTTTATTAGGTGAATGCTTGAAAGTGTTGAACATTAGATTCAATTTACTTCACATTAACATTAGCAAGTACATTATCAACAAATCTTAATAGTACAAATCAAAAACCTGAAGTACAGAAGACCTGCTCTCAAAACACTTTTCTGAGGTGACATGAAGACCGAAAGAGGCTACCACTCGAGTTCAGGTACTAGCCAACAACCACCACGTCATCACTGGTGAACTCATAGAAAGGAACCTCGAGGTTGAGGGGTGCAGGCCCCTTCCGGATCCTGCCAGATGCATCATAGTGGGACCCGTGGCAAGGGCAGTAATAACCACCAAAATCTCCTGCATTTGCAATGGGTACACAGCCGAGGTGCGTGCACACACCTATCAGGATGACCCACTCTGGTTTCTTCACTCGCTCTAAATCATGCTGTGGGTCCCTCAGCTGGGACATGTCCACTGCGGCTTCCTGCTCCACCTCTTTCTTGGTTCTGTGGCGCACAAACAGAGGCTTGCCCCTCCACTTGAAGGCCATGTTCTTGCCTTCCGGGATGTCGGATAACTTGATTTCAATTTTCGACATGGCCAGCACGTCAGCAGAGGCACTCATGCTGGAAACAAACTGGGAGACGACATTCTTGGCAGTGTATGCGACGGCCACCGTACTAGCTGCAGTTACCAAATAGGAGAAACCCTTCCTAACCTCGCTGCTCTCCTTTGAAGACTTTGTACTATCTAACACTTCAGAGCGGCGATAGTCGGAGAAGTCAGGCACTTTGACATCTGTATGGGAATAACGAACAGAAGCGGGGACTGCAAGGTAAACAGAAGGTTAAAAACACAATTAGATGAGGGTCCTGAATGGAGCAGACATCAGGCAACAGACCTTTATGACATCACAAGCAAGAATCAAATGATAAAATATGAAAAATCGCACTCATTGGTCTCAAAAATGCTCGCCGGCAGCCCAGCATATAAAATGCTGAGAATGACGTGAGGTCCAGCACATGACCACACTGGTTTGAAATCATAGGACCACATGTGTCCAACTGAGTTCCTCCTTACTGAGCACTGTGGACCCAGGGTTCACAACAACTTGATGCATCACGCTTGAAGGTCAAATAGCACTGCAAACAGCAATTTTTTAAAGTCCCCAAAATTCAAGGTGCCAAGACATACTATACAGTTATGTGAAATGTGTCCCACATTCTCTAGATTAGAAGGGACCCTGCACTCATCCAGTCTACTGATAACGCTAATGTGGGTTATCATCTTATTAAACCATCTTATTATATTCCTGTCTGTTTTTTGAAAGAACTGCTACAAATTCACATAATACTAATTACAAGATAATAAACAGTCTGTGAACTGTAGCATCACTTTAGCTGCAGAAATATTTCAGACCCTAGGGTATAAATTAGAATTACTTTAAGTAAAACCCCTAATGGATAGAAAAGGACACCATATCAGAATTAGCAGCTATCAAAATCAAATAAAATCTCCAAAAGAATCAATCAGTTCAATTCGGTACAAGAAAAAGAGGACACATTCGTACCACTCTCAGGGAAGGCAACAGCCTACGAGGCGGCCACTGTCTTTCCTTCTCACCGCTGTGGGTCTCAACTGGCACGCACAAGCCAGTCACATAAAAACAATGTTAAAGAAAAAAACAATCACTGTCTATGTAATACTTTGGATGCAAGCTGTTCATTTTCTTTTTTTAAAAAAGACCACATCCTTCTGTCTCATAGCATTTTTAAATGTCTGGGAAAAAAATTAACTTAATAATATCACTTTTAAGTGAAACATACAATAGTATGTTTCAGGAAGCAAATCTCTTTGCAAACTGTATGTTCATTTTAGGACATTTGCCAAAAGTTTCCATTTGGAAAATGGAACACTAAAAATCCCTTTTAGAGGGATGTTTCCAAAATAGTGTATTTTCATAAAAGCTGCAATTCTGGCTCTCAAGGTCCATCACTGATGGAAGCTGTTAGTTTACAAGTGGTGAAGCCTATCAAAATCACTCTACAGAGGACACAGGTAGTGACTACCTGAGAGTCACAACTCTGGCAAAGTGACATCATGTGATGCACCACCCTCCCTCCACCTAATGCTAACCTGTCAGAGGCTGGGGACTGGGATAAAGTATGAATTACTTTCCCTTAGCACTGTCTGGGATTACACAGGAAAAGAGTGCACTGTACCTAGAAGATGAAACATTAAAACCAGTATCACAGCCCTCAACCACGTAACAGTACACACGGAAACGTGCAAACACTAAAGAGAACGTCTCTGACAGTCTCATCTGGACAGCTGTGGGCAAGAAACCCAGCTGTCTACTCCCATTCTATGCAGCAGGCTACACTTCACATGGAGCTACATCATAGAAAGCTCTGGGAAATTAAACTGCCATACTGCAGAAATCATCCTCTAAATAACTTACATGAACTGTCACTGACTTTTAATAGCAAATATGCTAGCTAGATGTATTTCAAATTAAAGCAAATGAGTTACTTGTAGAAATACCATCCAGAAGTAGAGAAAAATTAAGGCATCATAACAAATCAAGGGTTTTTTGTCTTGTTTTGTTTAAGGTTAAGGTGAGTTCTGGTGCACTTTGAATTCTTCCTTCTCAACTCAGGGACCTGCTCCTGATCCAACCCCTCCCATTCCATACCCTCTGTTAACCTCCTTTCACAAACCATCTAAACAGGAGACTCTAATTCGAGCTTAGCTACACGCTGAAGGCATGATTAGAGACAAGAAGTTTGCCTTACAGTTCTACATTATTTACCAGTTCCTGGAAAAAGACAGGTAAGCCTCCAATTTTTAGAAGAAACCCTTCAGCCAATGTGACAAATCCCAATGATGCTGCTCACCTTTGCTATTGAAATTCTCTCCCTATTGTTTCTCACCTCCAGGTCAAGTAGACCTGCGATGGTACTTTGTTCTGACCCTGAAGTTCCTCCAAAACCCAAGTGCCCCCTCTAACAAACTGCTGATATATTCATTCAGAAATATTTTGCACCAAGGTTGTGGGAAATAGAAAAATAAAGGAGACATGCTCTATGCCCTCAAGCTCAAGGTCAGAGGAGTCACAAGCAAACACAATAGAGTGGAAAGTGTTATGTGCCCTAAAACATAAAGGGATCAGCAAATATAAAATTTCATTGACCTGACCCTGAATGGAGACTGAAAGGATGGGAAAAATATTAGAAATGTGGAAAAATGAGTGGGAATATAACTGAAAGTACAGAGAAGGGGGTGAATGAAGGCAGCATCATGGGGGCAACTTGGTCACACTGTAGGGCAAGGCAGGTGGCACAATGGCTCAGGTAGGCCTGATGAGGGCTGGNAAGTGTCACTGGGGCCAGGCAGGTGGCACAATGGCTCAGGTAGGCCTGATGAGGGCTGGGGTGGCCTGGGCAAGCACTTGCTCCAGCTAAGAGGCACACTACACCAGCTTCCAATATTTCAAGAGACATCAGAAATCTTTCCAACTTTTAAAAACTACGCAGGTGACACCGACTAAGGCCCAAGGGCCCACAGCTGCCAGTTCCGGATCCCAGGGCAGTGCTGCAGAGAGACATGTAAGAGAAGGTGCAAAAATAAAGTGGGGCCTGCTGGCGAGGGCGCTTCAGTCCCCAGACCCAGCTCCTGGCCGCCGTCCCTGCGCAAGTCGCTTCACTTCTGTAGTTGCCTCATTTGTAAAATGGGAGCATCAACCTCCCTCTGCCTCCTGTTCTGGAGACTGACTACCATGTGAAACGCTCCGACCCACTGCTGACAGCCTCACTGCAATGACCTTGAGGCTCCTCGGGCCGTGTGGGACGGGGGTCTGCGCTAAGGGGATCGGGCTGACCGGCCGGACAACTGCCACGTACTGAGAGCAGTTCCTGGTGTTGAGCGTTCACCAAGTGCCTCCCAAGTGCACTCACGACTTGACGTAGAATCTTTTCCTCTGACCTTTACCACATAACCTACGAGTCTGGTATAATCACTGATGCATTTCACTGGTGAGAAAAACGTTTAGAAATCTGCCCAAAGTCAAAGGACGTGTAAAGCAGCTTGCAAAATACCAGCCTCCGTGGGGA